TCAGTGGTTTATGCTGTGACTGCTTTATCTCTGTTTCTTGCACTGCTTTATCTCTGTTTCTGGCATCGCATTCCTCCTGCTGTCTAGTCAGCCAATTAGTGTCTTTTTTCATCTGACATAGTGGGTCAGTGATGGCGAACCTTTTAGAGACCGAGTGCCCAAACCACAACCCCAAACCCACTTATTTATCGCAAAGTGCCAGGGCCGCATCAGCATTGTGATGCCCTTGGAGGGGCATGGGGTGTGTGGCCCCTCGGTGGGCATGGCTGTGATTGTCACGGCGGACTGGGTGGGCGTGGCTGGGGTGGGCACGGCCACCTCGATGTTGCTCATGGGGGGACGCCTGTGGGGGCCGGGCAGGGTTGGGGGAGATCCAGGGGATCTCTGGTGAGTGGGGCAGTGGGCAGGAGGCCCAGCATAGATGGGGGGGGAGGCACAGAATCCTAGCTGGGACTGGAGGGCCATGGCGCCCATGGGGATCCGGCTTTCCCTGCTCAGGGTAGCCTTTGGCTTGCCGGTTGTGGGCGTGCTCTACCACCTCTACTTGAGCTTGCTAGCTGGCCACTTTGCCTCCTTTGTGCTGGGTGGGGCTGCCGCTCCAGGTGGCGGTAGCAGCCTAATAGACCTGCGCAAGCTGCTGGCAGCGGCGGCACGTATGCCCACAGAGAGGGCTCTGAGTGCCGCCTCTGGCACGCGTGCCATAGGTTCGCCGCCACTGTAGTAGGTGATCATTGGAGCGCACACGCCTATACTTAACACCGTAGTTGCCTATTTGAAGCCTTTCACCTTTTTACTTGCAAGGGTGCAATCCGCTAGCATTATTTTTTCACTTTACCAGCAGATGCACGGAGCACAATTCATCTCTTTTTACTTTAGCGAAGAGAGAAACACGCTGGTTCGTTTACTCACGCAGGCAGACGAACAGTGTTATGAGTTGGCAAGTTTAACATAGCCCATAATCAATGACCTTGCCCTCTTCCTGGTGTATAAAACAGTCATACGTGAAAAACTCCAGATGTTACCACATCAGAGGACCAACTTTACATGCTGATGTAAAAGAAATACAAGCTATAGAGCTTAACCCATGTTTTGAAAACTATTCAGTTACAATTATTGAAATTCAGGAAATCTGATCTGGTAATATCAGTTAAGGGTTGGTCTCTTATTACTCAAAACTGTCATCTGTTATTATCTTGATACAAGATAATTGAAGCTGAGTAAAAGAATTGGAGGGTAAGCTTTCAGATACTGTAGAAAAAGAACATCTCATATTACTCATTATGAACCAAAATCCTGTTGTGACTGGGTCACATGCACGCAACCGAGCCAAAATGGTAGAGAAATCTGTCTTTTTGTAAATGAATGTTTGTGATTTGCCAGTGTAGGCAATTTCATGGGCATGTCTTTAATGAGCTTCAAAATTTTGAAGGAATCTGTTTGCAGGTAACACCTTCTATAATACCCTTTTTGTAAGCTGCAACTGATAAAAGCTGATGTCTTTTAATAATGTTGGTTAGTTGAAAAAAACAACCTAGATTCCTTTCTTTTGTCACCATAGACTAACAGAGCTTTTACTCCTATAATATTTTCAAAATTCCAAGTGTGCTCATTATTTCAGAATGCCCAGTTCTTTTCTATAAGGTGATTGCACACAAGTGCAAAAATCATTATGAAAACCAACTTATGTACATATGTAGTATACATTTTATAGCTTTGCATGAATACATTTATCTGCAGGTATTATTGAAATGTGGTGATGTTAATAAGTACTACGCACCATTTGGACATAGTACAAGAAGGAATGTACATTAATTTCTGTTCCGAGTTTATGAACTGTCATTAAGATACCTTTTGAAAAGCCATTGCAGATAGTCCTTGTTTACTGACCACAATTGGGACTGGCAGTTCGTTTGATAAGTAAAGCAGTTGCTAAGGGAAACCGTGACTTTATTTATGTTCTTACTTCTGTTTTCCTTTGCTTTGTTATTGTTAGTTACGAAGTCATGTCTGACCCATCGCAACCCCATGGACAACATTCCTCCAGGCCTTCCTGTCCTCTACCATCTTCTGGAGTCCATTGAAGCTCACGCCTACTGCTTCAGTGACTCCATCCAGCCCCCTCATTCTCTGTCGTCCCCTTCTTCTCTTGCCCTCCATCTTTCCCAGCATTAGGCCCTTCTCCAGTGAGTCCTTCCTTCTCATTAGGTGGCCAAAGTACTTGAGTTTCAACTTCAGGATCTGGCCTTCTAAAGATCAGTCAGGGTTGATCTCCTCTAGGACTGACCGGTTTGATCGCCTTGCAGTCCAGGGGACTCGCAGGAGTCTTCTCTTTTGCTTTACAGACCTGCTAAGGTCACAAAGTTATTTGTTCATCACCATTGTAACTGAACAGTCACCAACAATTCAGTTCCTAAGCGAGGACTACCCTGCACTTTTCTTTTTGGTTTTCTACCATCCAGTTGTGGTTTATTCAGAAAAATTAAATAATAAATAAAACACGTTTTGAGTATTTTTTTTAAATACTTACCAAACTTTTTCTTTTCAAATTCGAGTTAAATGGAAGCTTAGAAATTTATTAATATACAAGTATACTGAAGGGATTATAGTTTTCTTTCACGTAATTGCTTATTTGAATTCCGGTATAAAATAAGTGTTGCTTTCTTAGGTAGAGAAGCCTTTTCAACAAAAGGGACTACTAGATCCACTTGACATCAAAAGGCCATGTTGAGATGCTGAGCTAACCAAAATATTTTAGATGGCCTGGGCATTATTGTAGGGTTAATTGTGTATCATGACAAGTAACAAGTTGGGAGAACAACTTCCGAATTTTCATGTACAGTAGTGGCCAAAATTGTGGAAACCTTTTGGGAAGAGTGTACAATAGAAATGCCACTTTTGGTTAAGTTTCCACGAATTTTTCTTCTAATTTCTTTATAACTCTAGCCTTGTTCACTTAATAATACTATTTTACATCGCTTTCCGGGCAACCAGTCAACTCTTTGCACCATTACTTTAATTTTGTTACATTTTGCAAGCTCACGCAATGAAAGAACACAAAAAAAACCCCAACCAACTTGATAGCCATCACATAACACACTGACAAATGTCCTCCTCTCAGCTTCAATACAGGACATCAATCACTGAATCCTACTGTGATCTGATTGGCTCATTGCCAAAACAAGATGACACCTGATTGGCTCTCTAAACACTCATGCTCATTGGCTACAATCAGATGAAGAAAGCTTCCTGAGATCAACCTAAGCAAGTTGTGCTTTCTTTTTCTGGTTATTTGGCTATACCTTTTCATAAAATACAGTACAGATAATTGAACAAACTTTGTCGCATTACATCCTTCATTAGATTATCTTTCCATTGATATATAATTTTATGGGATTACTCCCCCCAAAACAGCAGTGTCATTAGCCATCAAACCTCAAAAATACACTTTTCCCCAAAAGGTTTCCACAATTCTGGCCACTACTGTAATGTAGTCCTTGACTCACGATCATAATTCAGCCAAAAAATTCTGTTGTGAAGCTAAGTGAGTTTTGCCCTCTTTTAAAACCTTTTCTTGCCACTGTTGTAAAGTGAATCGCTGCAGTTTATTAAGTGAATCACGCGGTTGTTAAGTGAATTGGAAGGACCCACTGGAGAAGAGCTGGATGCTGGGAAAGATGGAGGGCAAGAGAAGAACGGGACGACAGAGAATGAGGGGGCTGGATGGAGTCACTGAAGCAGTAGGCATGAGCTTAAATGGACTCCAGAAGATGGTAGAGGACAGGAAGGCCTGGAGGAACATGGTCCATGGGGTCGCGATGGGTCAGACACGACTTTGCAACTAACGACAACAATATAATCAAGTTTAACCGTGATTTAATTCAGTTCATTTTTTTAAAGAAAGATTTTTATCCCACATTTTTTTCCCTAAAGTTTTTTTTTTCCAATACTGCTTTCTCCTCCTTTTTCCCCCATAGAGAATGACTGGCTCCAAAGTCACTCAGCCAGTTTTGCATGCCTAAGATAGGATTGGAACTCACAGTCTCCTGGTTTCTAGGCCAACGCGTTAACCTCTGTGCCAAAGTGGCCTAGTGTTATGGTTGCTCACGCCATCATCCATATGTTTAGCTTTGGCATTTTTGCCTACCTGTCGAGTTCTTCTTAATCAGGGCTCTTCAAACTTGGCCCTTTTATGACTTGTGGACGTGTGCCTGGCTGAGGAATTCTGGGAGTTGAAGTCCACAAGTCATAAAAGGGCCAAGTTTGAGGAGCCCTGCTCTTAATGGACCTGGGATAGGCAGATGTTGTTCCTTAATAACATTAAACGTAGCAGGAAGGAAGCCGTGATAGAATGTTGTGCAGGTGGAGAAGGTGTGTGTGTACCCTTGAAGAGTGTTCAGAGGCTGCAGTTGGTTCAGAATGCAGCCGCGAGAGCGATTGTGGGCGTGCCAAGGTACACCCACGTGTCACCTATCCTCCGCGAGCTACACTGGCTTCCTGTGGGTCTCCAGACGCAATTCAAGGTGTTGGTTATCACCTTTAAAGACCTTCATGGCATAGGGCCAGGTTACTTACAGGACCGCATACTGCCACACAGTTCCCAGAAACCGGTGAGGTCCCACAGATTGGGTCTCCTTCAGGTCCCGTCGACCAGACAATGTCGGCTGGCGGGCCCTCCGGGAAGGGCCTTTTCTGTGGTGGCTCTGACCTGGTGGAATCAACTTCTCCCCGAGGTTGGAACTACTCCCACCCTGCCGGCCTTTAAGAAAGCTATTAAAACTCTCCTGTTCCGGCAGGCCTGGGGCTGATGTCCCCGGGGGGGGGGGATATGATCGGACACGCTGTATGAATGTATTTATTTTATTGTTTTATTGTCATATTATTGTTTTAATTTTGTACGCCGCCCTGAGTCCCTTGGGATTGGGTGGCATATAAATTTTAGAAATAAATAAGTGTGTGTGTGTGTGTGTGTGTGTGTGTGTGTGTGTGTGTAGGGGTAATATCAACAATAGCTCAGTGGCTTCCAATGGAGGAGGAAGCACATACCAGAGAGGTCCCCAAAAAAGAGACTGCACAATCCTGAACTGGAGGAGGAAATGTGGAAAAGATTCAGGATAGCCACACCCTAGACTCTCCCAGGATATATTTATTAAGTCAGTCATTAACAGCTGTAGTCTGTCAAGATTCTGTCTATTAAGTGTAAGCAAACAAAAGAAGTGGACTTGATTGGATCTCGTTGTGTCGTCTTTGGGCTTGGGCTGGGCATAAGCTGTGCCCAGTAAAGCCGACTTTTGCAATTGATGGTTTTTGTCAATGCTAATGGTGTTCAAACGGTGCCCTAGATATTTTGTGATTGCCCTCAAGGTGCCTATTACCATTGCGACTGTCTTTGCTTTTATTATTGTTATTATTGTCGCTCAGAATTCTAATTTTTTGAAAAATATTTCACAACCACACAGTATTTCACTTCCATCCTCCTGGCTTTGTCTTAGGCCAGTGATGGCAAACCTTTTAGAGACCGAGTGCTCAAAACTGTTTGCCCTGCCCCGCTCCATCCCACATCCCACCCGCCGGCAGGGCCACCCACCACCTCTATGGCCCGCCGCAGATCACTCAGGTGGCCCAGCCGCGCCATGGAGGCTGTGCCCCCCCCAGCATCATCTACATGCAGTGGGACGCGAGGGCGGAGTCTTGTCCCCGCTGCCCGGCTGCCATGTCCTTGGCTGCGCTGCTCTGCGCGGGCTGCGCCCGGTGGTGACTCCTCCGGGGGGACTGTTGATGAGGGAGCCATGGGGGGAGACGGGGCTGGAGTGATGGTGCGCATGCCCACATTGAGTGCTCTGAGTGCCGCCTCTGGCCCGCGTGCCATAGGTTCGCCACCACTGTCTTAGGCAAACAGGTCAGGAATGTGGAAAGGCGTGACTCCAGGGCCACGTTGGCATGCGCCAGCCCCATTTTGCTTGTCTCTCGTGCCCATTTGGTTATGAATGACTCGTTTTTTTCTTTTTTTTTCTACAGGAAATTTGGTGAGCGACCTCCACCGAAGCGGCTCACCAGGTAGGGTTCGGGTCTTGTGTTCGGGTCCTGACTGGGGCCTCTTCCCCAGGGGTGTGTATTATAATATCAGTTGCCTCTCTGGAAAGGTGAAAGGGATCATCGAAGTGGTCAGAGCTACGAGAGCGGGCTGTCTGTTCTGTTGGCTTCTGAGCTCGGTTTTGTCATTTCTGCGTACGTTCTGTATAGGCAACTTCACCTGCACGCTCACGGAGTGGCTATCATTACTCCTTACTTTGATCCTTTGTGAAAAATGTGGAGACCAAGGGTTCCCTTCCCCAAGAAATACATAGGTGTGGAGCACCTCAACTGTTCCCAGTCCAGTGACACCGGTGGGAATCAATCTGATTGCTGCTACTGGTGGTCCTTAACTGGCTGACAACTGTAACTGAGCCCAGAATTATGGTGGGGTGGGATGAGAAGATGGTTGTGAGAATTTGGAGCAGGGGGAACCCTAGCAGCTTTGGCAGGCCCCACCAGAGAGACGTAGCTGCACGCAATTCAGACACAGCCTCTGGGGTGCTTTAAAAATACATTTAAGAAATTGGGTTGCTATCGACTTGATTGCCTTTGTTCTCCCACTCTTAGGGAAGCGATGAGGAACTATTTAAAGGAGCGCGGTGATCAAACAGTCCTAATACTTCACGCAAAAGTGGCTCAGAAATCCTACGGAAACGAAAAGAGGTAACGATGGGTGGTGTCTTGAACTGTGCGCTGCGCTGTTTTGCAGTTGAAAATAAACATAAATTACGCAGAGGCTATTGTTGCTTTCAACAACCATCTGCTATTTGGATGTCGTGGATTGTTAACGCCTAGAATTCCTGGCTTGGAAGCTTGCTGCAAGGCAGGTTTTATAGAAGGAGGGAATGAGATTGGAAAGAATGGTGCAAATTTTCCGGATTTTGTGTTATAGAGGTTTAAAATGACGCTGTCTGGTGTTGGGGTTCTTTTTCACTGCTGAGGTATCGGTTGACAAACTGTAGTTTTAAAAAAATCCGGAAAAGTTATCCGTTCGGGAGCCTTAAGATTTTGCAATGCAAAGGTTGCTATGAATTATTTTAAATGGTCTTTGTTACATTGTGTGGAGCTCCATCTAGTGACTATTTAAAGTAACTTAAGTTCTTAACGAGCATACATTTTTGTCAACCAAATAAATTACAACAAAATAGATTTAAAAAAACAAACAGAGTGGGTGTATATGCATCAGAATTTTATTTTTTAATGTATGCCAGCGTGTTCACAGAAAAAAAGTGACAATGAAGGTCTTGGTCTTGACTTTCCTTCATCTTCTCTTCTCTTCTCTTCTCTTCTCTTCTCTCTCTCCTCTCTTCCCTTCCCTTCCCTTCCCTTCCCCCCCCTCTTCTCCTCTCCTCTCTTCTTCATCTTTTCTTTGTCTTTTCGTGGGTTAGAGAAACTGGGGAAGCTGCTTCAGTTACAGTACTTTAGATTAAATTCTTAACTGACATTCTTTCAAATTGCCTCCTCTCATATTTGTAGCTTAAAATTCTATACATCGAAAGTATATAATAATCTAATTTTTCCAAAGGCAGTACAAACCTTCTAGGGAAGGCATGTCAAACACAAGGCCCGGGGGCCGGATGCGGCCCGCGAAATGGTTTCATGTGGCCCGCGAAGCCATCCTGGAAACAGTGACGGAACGGCCCCTGCTGCCTTGGCCCTGGCCCAGGCCGGCCGGGAGCCAATGTACAATTTTGTGGTGGCCATCTATGCTGAAACGCATTCAGTCTTAGCTCCACAAGGCCGTCTGGAAACAGCGAGGAACCAGCCCTGCCACATCGGCCCCGCCCCCTAGGTGCATGCTCACCCTTTATGAAGAATGAAGAAATGCACTATCGCCTGGAAGATGCCAGCAAATGGCCCTCGCCTACTTCACATATCCGGCTTGATGGGCTCCGGGGGAGGGGCTTCGGCAGGCTCTTCCAGTGGACCATGCCTTGGCACTTGCCCCGGTCCCACCCCCTTCTGCCAGAGACCCTCAGATCTGTCGCACTCCTGCCCAGGCCTCCACAGGCACCCTTGATGCGAATGATGTAGATCTGGCCATGCCTACCCAGTAGGCCACACCCACTCCAGCCATGCCCACCCACTAGGCCACGCCCATCCTGGCCATACCTACCCAGCCCCCCGAGGACAACTGCAATGCTGATGCGGCCCTCAATGAAATTGAGTTTGACACCCCTGGTCTAGGGAAATACATGTTCTAAATGTAACTTTTTGGTACGAGCCAGGAAATCTTAAAATCTTTTGAAGTCCAGTTGTTTTTCAGTAAAGAAAGTTGCATAATTTGGAGCTTAGCTTAGCTTTGTTGGCACCACATTCGAAATTTGTGAGCTCTCTGACATTGCATTATGAAACCACATCTACCTATAATACTCTTCTGTTGCTAGAATTAAATGTCATTAAATATTTCATTTTTAAAATAACACATTTCTACCCCTGGAGACCTAATTGGTAAAGATTCATGTGGAGTTAAAGGCACTTTGCATTAATTCCCACCCTACCACAAGAAAAATCTTTTCATTTATTAGAGAAGCCAGTAGAAATAACAAAACAAAACCAAATCCTGCATCTGATTGGATTTGGGGGCAAAACTAGGATTTGAAGAAGCAAGTGTATTTCTGACTTTGGGAATCCAATTCAGTTCCATCTTCCATTTCCCCCCTTCTGGATTTAAATAGCTCAGCTACAAAAGCGAGCTAGTGGTTAAAATATGTTTGCTACCTTGAGTTATTTAAATAAAAAAAAAATCTTTAAAAACATTTTAAAAATCTAAAAAAAAATTCTCCCTCGCTCAGATTATGCATAATTTTTTTCTGCCTGCCTTTTCCTTCAAAAATGGCATTTTGCGCAGGATACCAATGACTTGGTCCTTTAAAGGGAATACCTGTTCCAGCCGAACCTAACGTTTTGCTCTTTGCCTTCAGATTTTTTTGCCCTCCTCCGTGTGTCTATCTTATGGGTAGCGGATGGAAGAAAAAAAAAGAACAAATGGAACGAGACGGCTGCTCTGAGCAGGAATCTCAGCCATGCGCCTTTATCGGGATTGGAAATAGCGACCAAGAGATGCAGCAGTTGAACTTGGAAGGAAAGGTGCGTTGAACGAAATGTAGTGTTTGTGAACCCATTTACTTACTTACAGGACTGCATACTGCCGCACAGTTCCCAGAGACCGGTGAGGTCCCATAGATTGGGCCTCCTTCAGGTCCCGTCGGCCAGAATGTCGGCTGGCGGGCCCTCGGGGAAGGGCCTTTTCTGTGGTGGCTCCGACCTGGTGGAATCAACTTCCTCCCGAGGTTCGAACTACTCCCACCCTGCCGGCCTTTAAGAAAGCCGTTAAAACTCTCCTGTTCCGGCAGGCCTGGGGCTGATGTCCCCAGGGGGGGGGGCGGGATATGATCGGACTCGCGGTATGACTGTATTATTTCATTGTTTTATTCTTAGATGATTGTTTTAATTTTGTATGCCGCCCTGAGTCCTTTGGGATTGGGCGGCATATAAATAAAAATAAATAAATAAATAAATACTGAGAGGTCACGGTGAGCGTGAGTAATAAATCGATTCAAGACGCGGATGCTCTAAATTTGGACCTTCTCTGTTCATTCGTGGTCACTGAGTATCTTTCGGCTTTTATCCTGCTTTTATGCAAAACATTAATAAATAGATGTGTCGCATAGTTTTTTTTTTTTTTTTTAATCTTGTTTTCATACTCCTCTCGCGGCTACAATTGTACCGGCATCTCAATCTTTAAGCAAAGTGGTTGCTAAATGAAAAAGAAAAAAAAAATCACACGACCACTTCAGCTTTCCTTTGCTTTGCAGCATCAGGAGGATAGCAATAGCACTTAGACTTATATGCCGCTTCGCGGTGCTTTTACAGTCCTCTGTAAGCGGTTTACAGAGTCAGCATCTTGCCCCTGGGTCCTCGTTTTATTGACCTTGGAAGGACGGAAGGCTGAGTCAACCTTTGAGCCGGTGACAATTCTGCCGGCATTCGGCAGAATTAGCCTGCAATGCTGCATTCTAGCCACTGCACCCTCATGGCTCGGGATATCGCCCCGAAACAGTTGGGTGAGCCCAAATGGTGGGGAAAGTTTCAAGCTCGACTCATAAGGAAGTGTTGTGATTCCGTGCCAGCAGGTGGAGCTGGCAGCTGAGTCCGGGGAATCGAGGAGGAGGAGGGGCCTGGAGAGCCATCAGAGTCGGAGGAAGGTGCTGATGAGCTCCAGGACTTACAATCTGATGAAGAGCCTGACCCCTCCACTTGTGCTCAGACTGAGACCCAGCTGTGCAGGGAAGCTGAGTCAGACTCTGAGGACTCACAGCTGGAAGACATCATAGACGCTCGCAAACGCAGACAGGCAACAAGAGCAGGACAGAGGGAGGCAATGGGGCGACTCCAAGGGCGAAGGAGAAGGCATTGAGAAGCCACGCCTGGGGGCTGCATAATAAAAAGGGAAGGTGTGGGCGATGCTGGTTGCTGAAGGCAACCGTTTGCAAAGGACTCAAGTTTCATGTAATCATGTTCTGTTTCCTTTGCTTGTGAAAAATTCTCCATTTGAATCGTGTTTTGTTTGCCTTGGAGAATTCTCCATTTACATCGTGTTTTGTTTGCCTTTGCTTTTGGGATATTTTGCAGTTCTGTAAATAATAATAAAAGGGTTTGTTTTTCCTGCATTTCCAGCCTACTTGTTAAAAGAGGGGATTGTCCTTGTGAGTTAACAAGGACTCACATAGGCTGGGACAGAACAGGAAGCTTTTTTTGCCCTTTGGATGCTCACCCGGTCACTGAGATCATTAGGAAGAAGAGAATTAATGTTTGTATTTACATTACAGAGAAAGGAATTGCAGTAGAGTACACAGGCACACGGTAGGCAACACACATCAAAGGAAGGAAGTTGTGCCAGACGTTTTTCCTGGCAGGATCCCTGTGAACTACTTATGGGCAAACAAAAGGGTTACCACAAAACTGATTAGGGTCTTGTTGGTGTCAGGCAAAGTTTATCAGCTGGAGGGTTCTAATCAGCTAATTAAGGTTACAGAGCTGAGCTTGTTAACTTTCAGTTGGCGCTTCTGCGCTGTGGAAAAAACCAACTTGGGGAGTGATGGCTTGTTTTGGCAATTTGGGATAAATAAAGCAGGTTAGGCTCAGGACAGGGTGGGTTAACTGATTGTAGGTGGACATGTGCCAGAGAGAGACATTCCAAAGTTGTAAATGTGGGCATTGGGTGCAAAGTTATTCTTTCATCACCTTCAAGCTACAGATAGTCTGTTAGAGAATTTTAATTTCTCTAATTGGTGAAAAATAAATCAGAAGCTCTCACAGTTGACTGCATTTAGCTGATTCAAATAACTTTATATTTATATAAAAATATTTACAATACCATTCTTCTTTACAGCAACATAGCTTAATTGAAGACTTCTTACAGAGACAGACCAGAGACAGACATGAGACTGGAAATCCAGCTCCTAACTCAATAACTCTTTTGCACAGACTCAGTAGCACTTTCTTCCCATTGGCTGACTGAGTTACCACATGACTCTTCCTGTTCATGAATATTCCAACATAGTCACTGTCTGAGGCAGTCAGTAAACGATCACCTGTACATAAGTTCTGAACTTTCTTTGTTGAACACTATACATAGTTCATGGTTGCTATTAGTTGCAAAGTCGTGTCCGACCCATCCCGACCCCATGTTCAATGTTCCTCCAGGCCTTCCTGTCCTCTACCATCTTCTGGAGTCCATTTAAGCTCACGCCTCCTGCTTCAATGACTCCCTCCAGCCACCTCATTCTCTGTCGTCCCCTTCTTCTCTCGTCCTCAGTCTTTCTCAGCATTAGACTCTTCTCCAGTGAGTCCTTCCTTCTCATTAGGTGGCCAAAGTATTTGAGTTTCAACTTCAGGATCTGGCTTCTAAAGAGCAGCCGGGGTTGATCTCCTCTAGGACTGACCGGTTTGATCGCCTTGCAGTCCAAGGGACTCGCAGGAGTCTTCTCCAGCTCCATAGTTCAAAGGCCTCCATTCTTTGGTGCTCAGCCTTTCTTATGGTCCAACTTTCACAGCCATACATTGCAACTGGGAAAACCATGGCCTGGACTATACGCACTTTTGTTGGCAGGGTGATGTCTCTGCTTTTTAGTATGCTGTCTAGATTTGCCATAGCTTTCCTCCCCAGGAGCAAGCGTCTTTTAATTTCTTGGCTGCAGTCCCCGTCTGCGGTGATCTTGGATGTTGATAAATGTGCAAACGTTCTGGATAATTAAAAAAAATTACTTTCCTTGCTGAAACTGAGTTAATTACTTTTACTCCTAAATATCCTGCGTGAAATCATTTTATGACATTGTGGGCTTTGTTTCTCTCAGCAGAAGGAAATTTCCTTGCCTGCCGTTTTCAGAGAAAATGAAATGATAAAATAGTTTGGTGGCGAGAGACGGTTCCCTCTTTCGCAGGGATTATTAAGTATGACATGATAGAGTGAATTCTTGATCTAATATGACTTCAGGATTTCATCACCAACAATAATGAATTGGTCTATTAACTCCGTAGGGATGTTATTTTGTTTTTTAAATTTAATTCCCACCTTTATTATATTTATAAATAACTTAGGGTGATGAACATCCCTAATAACACTCCTTCTTCCTCCTAACAACAACTGTCCTGTCAGGTGAGTTGGGCTCAGAGTGAATGATTAGCCCAAAGTCATCTAGCTGGTTTCCATGCCTAAAACAGGACTAGACCGCACAATTTGCTGTTATCATGTCACAGTCAGGCAAGCACTATTGCTTTATCTTACTCTATTATGAACAAATAGTTTATGCTGCGCTGCGAATATTTGCGTCTCTTTCACTCAGAGTGAACTGTACAAACATGCCTAAAGAATGTCATAAATTATGTAAAAACCATTGTATTGAAATAACGCAGTGTACCAAGATTTATCGCAACACAATAAAAAGGAAGGCGAAAGGGGAAAGGAAAGAGGGAGAGGGGAGGGGCAAACGCATGCGTGTGCATGTGCGTGAACACCATTGCTTGCACGAGTGGGGCCATGAGCGCTCACATGTGTGGGTCCACAAACGCCCGTGATGTTCGTGGCGACGCTCATGCAAGCGGGGCTACAAGCGCCCGCCACAATGCTTGCGTGAATTGGGCAGTGAGTACCTGTGTTGCTCGTAGCAATGCTTGCGTGAGTGGGGCTGCGAACACCCATGATGATGCTCGTGTGAGTTGGGCCACAAATGCTTGCGATGCTTGCAGCAACACGTGAATGGGCCTATGAATGCCCCCAGCAACGCTCACGTGAGTGAGGTTGTACGTGCGCACGCATGTCTGAACTGGCCAGCAACTCGTGTGGCCCGGTGATGAATAGGCCGCAGTCCACAGGTTGGGGACTTCTGTGCTAAGTCATATTTGGAGGATACAATCCTGTCTTATTTTGAAGAAATCAACTAACACTCTGGGTTTAAATCATTGTGAATGCATGCTTACGCGTGTGGGACTGCGAACGCCTGCCACGAGGCTCGTGTGAGAGCGGCCACGGACGTCTGCGTTGACATTCGTGCGAGTCAGGCCGCAAACACCCACGATGCTCGCGGCAAGATTCACGCAAGTGGGGCCACGAATGTCCACAAAGCTCGTGTGAATGGGGCCGTGAATACCCATGACAACGCTTGTGCAAGTTGGGCTGCAAACACCCACGATGCTCCTGGCAATGTTTGCGTGAGTGGGGCCACGAATGCCCACGACAACGCTCGTGTGAGTGGGGCCACGCTTAGGCGAGTTGGGATGCAAATGCCAGCGACGTGGCAGCGCATGAGTGAGGCCGTGAACGTCCACGAAACTCAAGGCAACGCTTGCGTGAGGGGTTGAGCATGTGCGCACCGGCCAACCACTCACGTGGCCCAGTGGCCAATAGGCTGCGGCCCGGTATTGGGCCGTGGCCCACAGGTTGGGGACCTCTGGTTTAAGTGACAGAAAAAGCAATATACCGTATATGCCGGTGTATAAGGCGACTTCCGCAAGTGTTAAAATCGGTGCCAAAGACGGGGGTCGTCTTATACGCCGAGTTGTCTTATACGCCGGAAATACTGGTAGTTTCCGGCGTATAAGACGACGTTCTAGGAATGCGACTCGGCGCCAAAGACGGGGGTCATCTTATACGCTGGGTTGCCTTGTACGCCGGCATATACGGTATTTCCATTTAATTTTCCCTTTTACAGGAAAAGAGTAAAGCAGAAATACGTGAACCGTCTACTTATAGCAAAATCATATTTTTCTTTACAGATACTTGATGCTGATCTAGCTCATTCGTTTTCTGCTTTTCTGTTAACTTTTTCTGAAATGCAATAAACTGGAGCCCCTACACCGAATTTTTGAATTTGTTGTAACTTTACTATACTACTAAAAATTCCCTGATTAGTACATCTAGGCCTAGTTACCTTTAACAGTGCTTCATTGGAAAAATACTACATTACTGTCTCCTTTTATCCACAGAACTATTGCACAGCTAAAACTTTGTACATATCAGACTCTGACAAGCGAAAGCACTTCATGTTATCCGTAAAAATGTTCTATGGCAATAGCGACGATATCGGTGTTTTCCTTAGCAAACGGATCAAAGTCATCTCCAAGCCTTCGAAAAAGAAACAATCACTAAAAAACGCAGACTGTAAGTATTGGCCAAGCGAGCTTCATTGACTGTGGTCGATGTTTCACATACGTTGCTGTGAGCTTGTGAGTTTTCCATTCATCTCTTAAGAATGTGGCCTTTGGTCCCATTATAAAACAACTCCCAGCTATTACAACAAAGGAAGTATTTGATTTCAGCGTCTAACAATTCCAGCAATGTGTGTGAGAGAGGGAGGGAGGCAACAATGGTATACGTTATATTTTTGAGATGATCTGATTGAAGAGGTAACAATATTTTTTTTTAAAGCAGGTTTGTCTTAGCAACTTTTTAAGACCCGTGAACTTCCCCAGCTAGTACAGGGAATTCGGGGGGGGGGGGTGTCGAAGTCCACAAGGGGCTTCTGGGAGTTGAAGTCTAGGTTTTAAAGTTGTCGAGGTTGGACACCCCTGTTTTAAAGCACACCTCAAGGGCTGTCCCAGGTAAAACAGACTCTTAAAAGATAAACCGCTAAAAGGATAACGTTCTAGAACTAGTTTGTTCTATTTTTATTTATTTATTTATTGACTGTGACTAGGAAAGGAGATTCCCCCTTTAAAAAAAAAAAACAAGCCAAAGAAAAGATGCACATTTTCTGCTGGGTGTGGTTAAAAGAGCTGGAGGAAACTTGCATTTTTCAGATTAGACCACAGGTTGGCAACCTGCGGTTCCGGAGCTGCATGCGGCTCTTTGAGCCTTCCCCTGTGGCTCCCAGCCTCCTCTGCCTTTGCAGAGAGAGACAGAGACAGAGAGAGGCAATTGCGCTTCCCTGCTTCTCTCTCTCTCTCTCTCTCTCTCTCTCTCTCTCTCTCTCTCTCTCTGTGTGTGTGTGTGTGTGTGTGTGTGTAAAAGAGAGTGCACTCACAGTGTTCTCCGAGGAGCTGAAAAGCTTACTGGGCGGACCTCCTCCCTTTGCTGCGTCTCTGCAGGAAGCAGAAAGGGCAGGAGAGAGCTAGCTAGCCCAGCTAGGCTGACTCAGGAATTCTGGGAGTTGAAGTCCATGAGTCATAAAAGAGACGAGGTTGCTTACCCCTGAGCTTGTTGGACAACAGCTTGAAGCTTGCCAGATGAGCAGCAGATAGGAGGGGGGGGGGAGAAAGAGAGAGAGAGAGAGAGAGAGAGAGAGAGAGAGAGAGAGAGAGAGAGAGAGAGAGAGAGAGAGAAGAGGAGTGGCAGACCAAGGGCAGATAGAGAGGGAGGAAGAGAGAGAGATAGAGAGAGAGAGACCCTTTTGACATCTAAAATGAAGATAACATTGCATATATCCTTTTTTTACCTGTGTGTGTATGTAATTTTATTCTCTTAAAGCATTCTCTTGGTGATCATTGTTTTAATAGTATGGATATTCCCAAGAGTCATATTTTTACTTTTATTTTTAATGTGTACATATACATATACACATATATACATACATACATACATACATACATACGTACATACATAAATACACACACACACAGACACACACACACACACAGACACACACACACCTATAATAAAGGTAAAAAAGGATATATGCAGTGTTATCTTCATTTTAGATATCAAAAGGGTTTTGCAGCTCCCGGTGTTTTGTTTTTGGTGGGAAACCAGTCCAAGTGGCTCTTTGAGTGTTTTGGGTTGCCTACCCCTGGATTAGACGAAGTGCTGACTTTGTTGCCAGCGCATCTTTCCTGTCTAAGGCTAAGGCTGGTATATTAAGGCTCTGTTCTTTTTGTTTTTCTCCTGCACAGTATGCATTGCATCAGGGACAAAAGTAGCGCTGTTTAATAGACTTCGGTCCCAAACAGTTAGTACCAGATACTTGCATGTAGAAGGAGGGAACTTCCACGCCAGCTCACAACAATGGGGAGCATTTTACATTCATCTCTGTGAGTACAACTGAAAACCCTCCGTGGTTTTTTTTGTTGTTGTTTAATCTTTCCTGAGTTTGGGGGAAAGGGTAGCATTGTGTTTTCTCTTGGAACCGATTCGGCTTTGCCTGGCACGCTGATATTTCTCTTTCCTCCACAGTGGACGATGATGAATCTGAAGGAGAGGAATTCACAGTCCGAGACGGCTATATCCATTATGGTCAGACGGTCAAACTCGTTTGTTCGGTTACCGGCATGGCGCTCCCAAGATTGGTACATTTTGCATTTTCAGTATATGTCAGAGAAAGAGACTGGCCGAGCCAGGGGGAGGAGTCAAGCAGGCAATTAGTCTGGAATCTTTATGTAGGCAGAAGAGGGCAAGGTCTAAACCAGTGGTTCTCAACCTTTCTAATGTCGTGACCCCATAATACAGTTCCCCATGTGGTGGTGACCCCCAAGTGGGTGTGGCCACCAATAAGAGGGAGTAGGACAGCTAGGGAAAAGGGAAAAAATGGTGGACAGCGTGGTTTGGCGACCCCCGTGAAATGGTCGTTCGACCCCAAATGGGGTCCCGACCCACAGGTTGAGAACCACTGGTCTAAACCCTTCTGAATGCTACTATACCTTATACTAGTTCCTTTCGTCCGGTTAGATCCCACAGGCTGGGCCTCCTTCAGGTCCCGTCGACCAAGCAGTGCCATTTGGCGGGGCCGCAGGGGAGGGCTTTCTCTGTGATGGCGTCCACGTCTTGGAACCAGCTCCCCCCGGAGATTAGGACCGTTCCCACCCTGTTGGTTTTCCGCAAGCTGCTTAAGACCTGGCTTTTCCGGCAGGCCTGGGGTTTATAAAATTTGACCCCTGGATGAATGTTACTGTATTGTTTGTTTTGTTAAGTTATGTTGTGTTTTTATTGTTAGCCGCCTGGAGTCCTGCGGGAGTGGGGCGGTCTATAAATTTTAATAAATATAAATATATCTCAGGGGTCCCCAACCCCCGGTCCGTGGACCAGTACTGGGCCATGGAATGCCAGCAACCGGTCCACACAAACAAGCAAAGCCCCATCCGTGGGATGCAGGCAGCACACAACACCACACACTGTCCAGTCCGCGGAAAAACCTCTCTCCACGGAACCTGGTGCCCAAAAGGTTGGGGACCTCTGTGTTAGAGCAGGGCTTTTCAACCTTTTCACCCATTGTGTCACTTTTAGGATATGGCAATATCCGATTACCACCAGTCGCCTAGCAAGGGGTCAAAAACTTGATGACCCCCCCCCAAAAGGAAAAAAGTGATAAAGTACAGGTAGTCCTCAATTCGGTGGCAAGCTGGACATGACCGGGTTGCTAAATTAATCCACTGGGCATTGTGTAAAAAATACGACTTGCCTGTGTCCGAAAAGTCATGGGAACATAGGGTGGAAAAAGTGGTTGAGAATGAGAGGGTGAAGATCTTGTGGGACTTTTGAATACAGACAGATCGCCATTTGGAATACAACACGCCAGATATCGCAGTTGTAGAGAACCGAAGCGTATAGCTGATTGATATCGCTGTACCAGGAGATGCCAGAGTTGAAGAAAAAGAACTGGAAAAAAATTACGAAATATCGCAACCTGGTCATCGAAACTGCGCGATTATGGATGAAACGTGTAACAATGATATCCATTGTCATCGGGGCACTGGGAACTATGTCCAAAAACTTTGCAAAATACATCAAGAAACTGCAGCTTCCTGCAATAACTCCAGCAATGTTACAAAAAACTGCGCTACTTGGAACATCTTAGATTTTAAGGAGGTTCCTGGTTGACACCTAGGATGCTGGTAGCAACCCGTGTCAACCATCGGCACCAGCCAATTTGAATGTTCAGTTGACTGAGGTTCATGTCTAATGAATAAAAATAATAATTCAATTGCAAGAGGCGGCCTTACTAGGAACAGCTTCCATCCTGCAACGATATCTGTAATATTATCAATTCAAACATCCACATCTGCCTATCCCAGGTCCTTGGTAAGGACTCAATAGGTAGACAAAAATGCCAAATCCAATCTGAACATCTGGCTGACTATGTGAAGAATAATAATAATAACTACAACAACAATAACAATAATAATAATAATATAATGTGTTTGAATATTAGTAGCTCAAATTGATAGTTGAGCTGTTGGTTTGATCTCCAAGCTTGGCGATTGCAAACATTTCATCTCCATTCAAGGGGGGGCATCTTCACGTGCCCCCGAATGGAGACGAAACGTTTGCAGCCAAATCGCCACGCTCGGAGATCAAACCAACAGCCCATAATAATGAATAATAACCACACTTCCTTCGCAACAGGTTTGAAATCCATTGCCAACTTGATAATACGTGAGGCGATAGTCCTCTGAAGCGATAACATTCATGATGTTGGTGGTTTAAAAAAACAAAAACCTAAATATTGAACTGTATTTATTGACAGATAATACGGAAAGTGGACAAACAGACCGCTTTGCTAGATGCAGATGATCCAGTATCCCAGCTCCATAAGTGTGCGTTCTACCTTAAAGATACCGAACGAATGTACTTGTGCCTTTCCCAAGAGCGAATTATCCAATTTCAAGTAAGTTGTTTGACATACCAGTATAGTGTATGCCAGTGGTTCTCAACCTGTGGGTCGGGACCCCATTTGGGGTCGAACGACCATTTCACGGGGGTCGCCAAACAAGGCTGTCTGCCATTTTTCCCCCTTTTCTTTGGCCACGCCCCTGGCACCCGGTGATGTATAAGTGGTTGGGGGTCACCACAACATGGGGAACTCTATTATGGGGTCGCGGCATTAGAAAGGTTGTATGCTGTTAATGATCTTTTTGAGAGCGGGCGTGTCTAAAAACTAGCACCCAGGAGGACCGTCGCACCCACTCCAGCCTTTTGATAACTCCTCCTCTGTCAACGCTGCAAATATTGTACATTCTTGCTTTTGACAATATGCAGAATTGTCTGATAATTATGGGGTTAATACAGAGCAGAAGGGTGGGGTTGGGGGTAAAGCCCGGGAAAGAAAGAGGAAGAAAACATTTGACCTTCACACTAATTGGATAATGTGAGATATGACTGGCTAATTTAGGGAGGGAACATGCTGATAATTTAACTGCTCAGAGGAAGAGAACTTAGATCCTAGCATCCCTCCGTTGTGCCTGCCGACATTTTGTAACAATAAAAGACTTTTAGGAGAATAAATGCCTGGAAGTTCTTTGAAATGTTTCATTAGCCGGAACCATAACACTGACATTTGCAACCCTGTGTAGCACTGCATATTTTATTTGCAGATGGCATCTTGATAGGAGAGGGGCCAGCCCTGCTTATTTCCTGCCATATATTTTAGCACTGCAGTTGACACTGCAAGTTCCGTAAAGGGTAGGCGTGGAAAACAAGCTGCAGGATTTTGATAGGGAGGGACAGGGCCACCACGGGAATCTGTTCAGAAAAAGGCAAGTCTGCAGAGAATATGGTCTGCATTTTGGGCCTGATATTCTGTTGAAAGCTTCTGTTGTTGCACAAGCTATTATTGATGCTCTCTCAAGCGTTTGGCAATTTTTTATTTTTTTTTAAGGCCACTCCATGCCCCAAAGAACCAAATAAAGAGATGATTAATGATGGAGCTTCGTGGACAATCATTAGCACAGATAAAGCAGAATATACATTTTATGAGGGCATGGGACCCGTCCACGCTCCCGTAACACCTGTGCCTGTCGTAGAAAGTCTTCAGGTAAGTCAGAATTTTCTTTCTGCTTCGACGAAGTATATAATCGAGATTACCGAGAACAAGCCATTTATTGATTCAGTTGGTTTGTTGGTGGTCACCTGCATTTTGAAAATATTTACCGGCGCTTTGCATCTTTAGGAATTCAGAAGTATAAGGAGAGCCCAGTTTGACGTGCTTGTATTTGCTGAACATAATTTTTTGGGGGGTATTGCAGACATTCCAGTCACAGAAACAAATAGTCTTATTTCTTCTTTCAAAGATATAAAGGGTATGTGAGAGTGACCTAGGGGTGAAGGATGAACAGGGAAGAGATGCTGGCTAGGGAACCATCAGATGATCAGGGGACTGGAGGCTAAAACATATAAGGAACGGTTGCTGGAATTGGGTATGTCTAATCCAGTGGTTCTCAACCTGTGGGTCGGGACCCCATTTGGGGTCAAATGACCATTTCACGGGAGTCGCCAAACAACGCAGTCTGCCATTTTTTCCCCCCTTTTCCTTAGCTGTGCTACTCCCTTTTATTCTATTGGCTTTTGAAAGCCAGTAGAATAGACTCTCTTGAATAGAGTCTAATTCTATTGGCTTTCAAAAGCCAATAGGAATTGTCCAGGCTGTCTCGGCCCTGCTGAGCCCGCCAAAAGTCCCATTCTGCAAATGGTGCTGCACCAGTTGAGTAGTCCTCGACTTACGACCGGTTGAGTAGTCCTCAACTTACGACCGGTTGGGGATCGCGGCATTAAAAAGGTTGAGAACCACTGGTGTAGTCTAATGAAGAGAAGGATGAGAGGGGACATGATAGCAGCTGTTCCAATATCTCAGGGGCTGCCCCAAAGAAGAGGGAATCTAGCTATTCTCCAAAGCGCCTGAAGGCAGGACCAGAAGCAACAGATGGAAACTAACTAAAGAGAGAAGCAACCTAGAACTAAGGAGAAACTTCCTGACAGTTAGAACAATTAACCAGTGGAACAACCTGCCTCCAGAAGTGGTGAATGCTCCAACGCTGGAAGTTTTTAAGAAGAGACTGGACAGCCATTTGTCCGAAATGGTATAGGGTTTCCTGCCTGAGCAGAGGGTTGGACTAGATGACCTCCAAGATCCTTTCCAACTTTATTATTATTATTATTATTATTATTATTATTATTATTATTATTATTATTATTATTATTATTATTATTATATAAGAGAGGGCTTAGCCTGCAACTAAATAATGAGCAGAGAAACGAGACCGAGAAAGGAAATCTCAACCTCTCGAGCTGTAAAAGAGAGAGGAAGAGATTTGTACTGTCAGACTTACCAGATTATATTAATGTCAAAGTAAAAAAGGTAAAGGAATCCCTGCGGATTTCACTCTGTGAGTCGCCGCCGTCTCCCCGGAGCGGTTCACGGCTGTTGAGCTAGAGCTGTCGGAAGACATTTCTGCAGTCATGTCCAATGCAATGTCGCAAAGCGCCGTTACCTTCCCGCTAAAGTGGTATCTGTTTATCTACTCGCGTTTGCATGCTTTTGGGACTGCTACGTTGGCAGGAGCTGAGGCGAGGACGGGAGCTCACCCCCTCGTGTGGTGCTCGGGACTCAAACCCGGGCTGCCCCTTTTCCGGCCGACAAGCTCAGCATCTCACCCTCTATTAATGTAGCCTTACAAAAGAGTACAGTTAGCCTCACCTGTCTGGTTCTACCTGGGAAAGCTGATAGCCTTCTTCCATATTCAATTGGTAAGGATGAAAATTTCCCTTCTGAAGATTCAGCTGTTTCCTCCCCCCTCCATTCGTCCCCCCCCCCAAGCTCCCTTCATTCAAATAAGGTTCCCCCGAATCCCTGCGTTCTTGTGCTTGTCTCCCATGATAAACATAGTCTATTACCTTTCCTTTTCTTTTCACAAGCTCAACGGTGGCGGAGATGTAGCGATGCTGGAACTAACCGGGCAGAACTTCACTCCAAATTTGCGTGTCTGGTTTGGGGATGTGGAAGCGGAAACGATGTACAGGTGTTGTATAAGCTTTGCAACGTTACCGTAACTCTTTGACATCCGGGTGGGACTCTGTAAAGGGAAGACATTCATCTCTCATTCGCTCCCCTAAAAATAAAATGATAAATTGACATGAATTTGCATACAGGTAGTCCTCGGCCACTGACCATAATGGAGCCAGGGATTAAGGGAGTAAGTCGTGTTGGACATTAAGCAGGTTTTTTTGCACTGAATTTTGCAGCCTTTTAAAAAAAATTCAGCGCTCATTAAACAAACGCCATAGCGGTTAAGCCAGTGGTTCTCAACCTTTTTAATGCTGCGACCCCCAACTGGTCGTAAGTTGAGGCCTACTCAACCGGTTGTAAGTCGAGGACTACTCAACTGGTGCAGCACCGTTTGCAGAATGGGACTTTTGGCGGGCTCAGCAGGGCAGAGACAGCCTGGACAATTCTATTGGCTTTTGAAAGCCAATAGAATTAGACTCTATTCAAGAGAGAGTCTATTCTATTGGCTTTCAAAAGCCAATAGAATAAAAGGGAGTAGCACAGCTAAGGAAAAGGGGAAATAAATGGCGGACTGCGTTGTTTGGCGACCCCCCCGTGAAATGGTCGTTCGACCCCAAATGGGGTCCCGACCCACAGGTTGAGAACCGCTGGGTTAAGCAAACCCATTGTTTTTTCTGCTGAAAGTAAAGGCCAGTTTTCAACAAAAAAAATCTAAATCTCTGTCTTGTAACCTAGGTGTCCCCAACCCCCCCCTCCGGTCCATGGGCCGGTACTGGGCCGCGCCATGCCAGCAACCAGTCCACACAAACAAGCAAAGCCCCATCCGCGGGATGCAGGCAGCACACAAAACCGGTCCGTGGAAAAACCTCTCTCCACGGAACCGGTCCCTGATACCCAAAAGGTTGGGGGCCTTTGTTGTAACCGACGGACGCTGCAAATAGATGTAAATGCAGACCGCTTGCTGAGCACCCAAAACGTGATCATGTGACCACAGGGGGGAAGGCAGCCATCCGAACTTCAAATACAGGTTATAAGTAACCCCGGGGAGCTACTTTGACTAGTTGCTAAGCGTCTGGTTTTAAGTTGAGGGCTACTTACATTCCCCCCCCCTAAAAAAAAGGTCTTTCTGAGATAATTTCCAATTTAGGAAACCATTTCTAGATTTTTCCTTTTCACTTTCTCTTAAAGCAGTGGTTCTCAACCTGTGGGTCGGGACCCCATTTGGGGTCGAACGACCATTTCACGGGGGTCTGCCATTTTTCCCCCTTTTCTTTGGCCACGCCCCTGGCACCCGGTGATGTATAAGTGGTTGGGGGTCACCACAACATGGGGAACTGTATTATGGGGTCGCGGCATTAGAAAGGTTGAGAACCACTGTCTTAAAGTAACAATGAGGCCCTAAATAACCCCCCCTCAAGTTAAATGGGTCTGTTTTTTTTTAACCTTCATCCTCTCAATTAACGTTTCCCCCCAAGTCGCTTGAAATGATTAGGCCTGCTGTCCTGAACTCAGTTTCTCTCTTTCCCCACGCACCCTGCAGCGTTGAAACCTTAACAAGAACCTAACTACTTTGTGATTATTTGAATGAGCTTCCCCATTGTTTTTATTAAGAGCTTTGTGGGGCTTCAAGAAAGAAGCAGAGGCCTATTGGACAGAGCGCTCAGCTGCCCGGCTTTCTCCACGCTTATCCGATGAGTTCAGATAACACTATGTGTGGTGACAGTAATCCATACCTTATAGACAGTTCAGCTGGGGATTCTTGACATCTTATTTTGGTGGAAGTGAGGCTTTTAATTCCTGCCTACCTTCTTGCAGCAAAACGCAGGACAATCGTGCAAAATAATTCTTCCTACTCTACATAGCTAGAGATTCTAAATAAAACAATGTATTTACAAAGCAGCCCTAGTGGTTAGAATGCAGTATTGCAGGCTATCTCTGCCCGCAGCCTGGAGTTCGATCCCGACGGGGCTCAAGCTTGACTCAGCCTTCCACCCTTCCGAGGTCGGTAAAATGAGGATCCAGATTGTTTGGGGGGGGGAAGAGGGCAATATGTGGACTCTGTAAAGCGCCCAGAGAATGCCGCAAATAATATATATAAGTGATATATTGTGGTATCCGCAGCAGAACATCCAGATTCAGCCATAGTTTCATTCCATACAGCATTAACCTTGTGAACTCTCAAGCATCCTCCTTCCGTTATATATTCAAGATGGACAGTATTTAATATTTGTTACGTATATGTAGGGGGGTGGGTCTATACAGATGTGGTATATAGTATATTTGAGTGTGTGTCGTGTATGTGTTTCACTTTGAGAGCAGGCAACTAAATTTCATTTTTCGATGTGTGCCGTTGTGCCCACAGTAAAAAAAATGACAATAAAGGTTATCTTATCTTATATATAAGCCTAAGAGCTGTTACTAAGTTCTAAAACGCTGCAATTCATGCCAGTGGGGAAATTTTTTTATTATTATTTTCTTGCGGTTGAATTTGAAAGGTTACAGCACACGGTTTCCCTAGGGCAGGGGTGTCAAACTCAATTTCATTGAGGGCCACATCAGCATTGCGGTTGCCCTCGGGGGGCCGGGTGGGTGCAGCCTACTGGGTGGGTGTGGATGGAGTGGGTGTGGCCTACTGGGTGAGTGTGGCCAGCTCTACATCTGGGCAGGAGTGGGGCAGATCTGAGGGTCTCTGGCAGAAGGGGGTGGGACTGGGGCATGGTCCATTTCTTCATTCCTCACAAAGGGTGACACCTCCCCAGCATGCACCCAGGGGGCGGGGCTGACACAGCAGGGGCTGGTTCCTCGCTGTTTCCAGACGGCCTTGTGGAGCTAAGACTGAATGTATTTCAGCATAGAGGGCCACCACAAAATTGTACATTGGCTCCTGGCCGGCCTGGGCCACGGCCAAGGTAGTGGGAGCCTTTCCCTCACTGTTTCCAGGATGGCTTCGCGGGCCACATGAAACCACTTCGCGGGCTGCATCCGGCCCCCGGGCCTTGTGTTTGATATGTCTGTCCTAGGGGAAGTTAGTGACTTCTTACGCTTCTTCCTAGATGCGCCGAGAGCATGCTGTGCGTCGTCCCAGATATCTCGGCATTCCGGGAAGGATGGCGGTGGGTCCGCCAGCCCGTCCAGGTTCCGGTCACGTTAGTGCGCAATGATGGCATCATTTACTCCACCAGCCTTACCTTCACCTACACCCCAGAGCCCGGCCCTCGGCCGCACTGCAGCGCAGCGGGAGCCATCCTCCGAGCCAACTCAAGCCTCCTGGCCTCCAGCGAAGCGAACACAAACAACGAGGGAAGTTACACAAACGTCAGCACGAACCCCGCCAGCGTCACGTCGTCGACAGCCACCGTGGTTTCCTAACCACTGCTCTTTGTGCGGAACTTCTTAAAAAAAAAAAAACTTTTCAAGTGCTTCAAACAATAAAACCGAACAACTTTTTTGTGGTTTCGCGAGGGGAAAGAAAAAGAAGAAGAAAAATCGACCCCTCCTTGCCGCCGTATGTACTTTTTAATCACCTACAAGTGCTGATCTTAACTTGAAGCCACAATAAAAAATGAAATGCGTTGGGGGCCAGCCCCCCTTTATGGAAAATCTATTTTTAGTTTGTCTCTTTAAAAAAAAAATGGACACGTAACAAACAAAAGTGGCTGGGATTCAAATGATCTAGTAAACATGGACAAAACATGGTTTTTATGGACCAAGGAACACTTTAGTAGAAAAAAAGGTACATTTTCACCATGCCTTTTGTATCACAACATATAGTATGCTTTTGTTACCAAATAGTTTATATATTATTATTTTTTTTCCTCCTCTGAGCATTTGCTCTGAAGTATATTCAGGTTCCAAGCCTGACCATGCTTGTATAATCTAATTACCATATTCTTCCATATATATATATATATATATATATATATATATATATATATATATATATACCGTTGCATTTTTTTTAAACCGGTCTTGTGACTTTTTATGAACTGAATTCTGAATTATTATTTTTTTCAGCAAGTAGAACCTTGTAAAGGCCAGCATATTTTTTTTTAAGAGTTATATGAAGTTTGTGCAAAAAGCTTTAAAAAGAAATTGCCTCTGCCTTGCCTGCAATACATACACGCAACGTATGTTGACCCTAGAGCTCCTTTGCCCATCGTTGTGCATCGTTCTTATTTCGTGTTTCTTTTTTCTTTTCTTTTTTTTAATGTATTTATAACGTTGATTCCTGAGGTTTTTAACATTAGAAATGTGGCCTCTTCTGCGGTTATTTGAACTGCCCCCCCCCCCCGTGTTTAACGTACGTGAGTGTTTTAAAAGGGTTTGTTTCTTTCACCATCAATACATGCCTCAGAAAAATATATATATATATATTTTCAGGATTTTGTCCGGGTGGCTTTATTTTTATTTTTAGCTGCCCCTGTACATAATTTGCTATTAATTGTAAGTTAAGTGTGTGTGTATGTGTGCGTGTGCATAATTTTGATTTTTTTTTTTTTTTTTTAAAAACCTAGTCTGCTCCCAATAACATTATTTGGCTGCCTGTTTTCTGTCAACCTTCGCTTCAAACATGGGTCACAAGTGTTGGGTGTTTCTCTTTATTTTATGTTGGGAATTGTGAGACATTATCCTAGCGGTCCTCTCCCATGTTACACCGTTGTCATGAACTAATGTCCACACGTATATATATATAGCCTCCCTGTCGTATAAAGAGGATTGTTCCCAACCTTGCAGTAATTTCTGATTGCAGAAGCACCGAAGCGGGCTGTTTTTTTTCCCCCCTTTTTTTCCTTCCCAAATTACATATTGCAGCGTTCAAATCGTCTCTCAATTGCATGTTAAATACGCGCCAAATTATACCGCTGTTTCCTCGTATAGTCACTGAGGTTGAAACAGCATATATGGCGATTTGTACGACTGCCATATTTAAAACCTGTGCATTAATGGGGCAGTCAGTTCATTTCCCATCTCGTGTAATTGCTTGTATGATTTTGGAATACCATTAAGGAGGACCCTTTGGTAATCAATCCTCCCCCCCCCCCAGACTGAAGCTGTTATAAGAAGTATGTCAAGAATTCCAAAACGTGGATCAAGGATCCCACGGGTTTTAGGCTCCATTGACCGAAGTCTCCTGAAACTCTGTGTTTTAGAAATCTAGTGATTTGGGTTTGATGGATAATTAGATGATCCAGAAGTTCAGCACACGCTGAGCCTAGTCACAAGGCTGTCCTCTGTGTGGATATTTTATAGAATATATTGGTGAATTGTCAAAGGCCGTAACGGGAAGAAAAAGCGTTAATTGGGCCTTGACTTGCATTAGATGCATCCGTTTTGGTACTTGATTAGGAATTTGCCTCTGTGTTGTCTTTATCCTTCCTTCCTTTGGATAATTGATTTTAAATAAATTATAAATTTATTGGCAAGCAAAGAATTCGGATTTAGTCCCAGTGGGATTTTTTTTTTTTCTGTCATCAAGTTGACATCCTTTATTCATTACAGATCTTCAATTGTTCCATTAAGCAGAAGACTAGCTGATGCTGAACTTCTTAAAAAGCAGCATTTGTGTGCAAAGGCAAACAACACAAACAACTTCCACATAGTCTACAGTTTTAATTTACTGCGGTTACATTGGTTCTTCTCCCATTTAAAGGCTGTTTAGTTGATGACTGCAGCTGCTAAGCACAGTTGGTCAATTCAGTGCCGTTATTGAAAAAAAAATAGGCTTTTATTTCCAACACAGACTTCCCTGCCTGCTGTTTTTTTTCCATGCCATTGAATCATTTCCAAATCACATGTTTGTTCTTAATAATTTTGGGTTCTTAATAATAATAATAACAACCAACTTCTACCTTGCCTCATCTCATTCTTTGCAAAGACCAAAGGCAAAGATTTATGGTGGCCTTATCATCGTGCTTAACCTCCTCTTAGCATTTGTTCAGGACCCTCCATATTTTTCCATGTTTCGTTGTTCCTCGTTGTGATGTACACGGGAAATCCCCTGGGTAGTGTATGTTAAGAGTTCCACAGAGTAGGACGCTGCGCCTTTTTATGGAATAGGTTACGGCCTTTAAGCCAACGGTTTTGAGGATCAAGAATTGATAGCATCCTGCGTTTTCCTTAGTCTCAGAATTGATTAGAACTGCTGTAAAGCCTTTTTAGCCCTGCCAAGTTTTGGCAGACTTTTAGACCTCTTCATCATGGTTCAGCATTAGCCTCTTTCCAAATTGCTCGCCAGCTGATCGGGTTAGTTTCTGTCAGCCCTAGTTGAGCAGAATATATTTGGCATTTGCACCTATCTCTAAAGCAGTGTTTCTCAACCTTGACCATTTTAAGGCATGTGGACTTCAACTCCCAGAATTCCACAGCCAGCATTGCTGGCTGTGGAATTCTGGGAGTTGAAGTCCACATGCCTTAAAATGGTCAAGGTTGAGAAACACTGCTCTAAAGGAATCTGGTGGAAGGCAAAGAAGCTTAATTTTCTCTCTTTCTTACCTGCTTGTACGAGGGAGACTTAGTGTATTTTTCGCAGCATCTTTTAACCTTAATTCTTACAGATTTAAGGGAAGGGCTGGGCGGAGGAATAATTGTCTTTGTCATGTTGTAGATTTGGGAAGAGTGTCCTGGGTCTCATTACTCATGCGGTCTAGCTTTTACTTTCTGAGTCTTATCTCTTATCAGCTGCATTTTTTCGTCACTGAAGTATTTGTTCAGTTCTTAGAACAGCAGCCTCAAATACGGTTCCCCTCCCATTTGTTTTCCCACCATTATTTGTACAGGAATAAAACTGCCATCCTCTGTTCGCTTCTCTTAGGAGTCCTGTTATTCTTGTAGCTACTAATTAGGAAGGAAAAGCACATTTGTGAATATTGAAACACATCAGGCCCATGATGACGGCACACGTCTGAGGAAGGGATCCCACTTTTTCCTACTGGGGCTCAAGAGTCTTACACCCCCCCCCTTATAACAAGTCCTGCCCGGGTTGTGTGACCCTTGAATTAAACCACCTCCTTGCAGTCGAGATGCTTCCATTGTTAACGGAGCGGAGAATTGATCTGGACTGTTTAAAACAGTGGTTCTCAACCTTTCTAACGCCGCGACCCCATAATACAGTTCCCCATGTTGTGGTGACCCCCAACCACTTATACATCACCGGGTGCCAGGGGCGTGGCCAAAGAAAAGGGAAAAAATGGCGGACAGCCTTGTTTGGCGACCCCCATGAAATGGTAGTTCGACCCCAAATGGAGTCCCGACCCACAGGTTGAGAACCACTGGTTTAAAACATGTTTTTCTTGATAAACGAGTGAGCTTGCTTTTTTCTGTCTGGGAAGAGTCAAATTGTCAGCATCGCAGCTACCTTTGAAGAAATGACTGTATTTTCCAGTTGGGAGCTTCTCCTTGTCAAGGCTTCAAAGATTGCTGCCCATTTTCCTGCAGCCCCTTCTTTTTTTTTAATTGAAAATTTTTTAAAATTTTTACAAAAACAAAACAACCCTTGCCCAAACCTCCCCGACCCTCCTCTGCAGCCCCTTCTAATAAGCCTCTGTTGAATATTATTCAGCGCAGTCCAATTTGGACCAAAGAGCTTTAGAGTAGCTTTCATGGACAGAATGAAACAATCTGTTTCAAGGAGTAATCTTGCTGTTTAGTTCTGCTTTTGGAAAGCTAGGGATATGATGGAATTCGGAATTGATCTACTTCTTTGCATCCCGCTTTTTTTTTTTGTTTAACCTTTCTTTTCTGCAAACACTGTAAATGTAGGATTGAGTGGTAGCTTTGTGTCAGAAATAAGTTTCAGGTTCCCCCCCCCCCAACATGTTTTTCTTCTGTTCCATTGGAAGTCCAGTAGGAGTAACTGCTTCAACATTGTGTTTGGGCTCCTCCAACATGTTTCCAGTAATAATGCATGCGTCTGGGTGTAGAGGAGAAAGTGAGGAACATCTGTAGCCATTTCTCTTGAGTGCTAATTCACCTGCAGTGTAAAGGGATGTACTCACAAGTGATTTTATGACTATTTTAGACTTCCACATAGACTCTTGGAAGCAACCCCCCCCTCCCTTCTTCATCCTGGTAATGGTAGCTGTTTTGGCCAAGCAGATGTGGATAGCCACTATGGATAGCTACTATGGATAGCTACTATTCTGGCACAACTTTCTGTTCAGTTGTGCTGTCTGATTCGATGGGCATGCAGCTACTCTGTAGAGCTCCAGACGTGAAAAAGGACAGTGACATCTTATGGGAGGTTTTCCACATAGGTAGTAGTGAGTGTGTGCGTGTGTATGCTTCTATAGGTACATAGGCTGAAGTATAAATGACAGTCAGTCTGGCTGAACTCAGTAAGATTTACTTCCAAGCAACCTTAACGTAACAGGGAAGTTAGGAAGTAACACGTCATCTGCCATGATTCGCAGGCTCTAGTTATTACATATTTCTGGTGTTCGTCTGTGTACATGGTCATTCTGTCCTTAAAAAAAAAAAAGTTTTATTTTGCAAATGACGCACCTGTAAAGTTTCGTAGCAATAAGAAGGCTGAAGAAGTCTTCACCGTAATTTTTATACAAACAAAAACAAAAAAAACCCCCACCCAATCTGCTCGGTGATCTGTTTCGTCAAAAAAATAATTTAAAAAGTCTGCAACGTGAGCGGTTTGCAGGAACAAACATGAAATGTAAACAAGATGTGTGTTGTCACATGTACGGTGTGTAATTGGCACATTGGATACTTGATTGTTTTTAAAGAAAAAAAAAAGATTCACTGAGATTTGTGAAGAATGAATTAAATGTTCTGTTACTCTTCCTGTGACTGAATTCAAATGATTACAAATTTGTTGAAATGTTGATGTATTTTTCCGTATAAGGAGCCAGTTCCATTTTCCTGACTGGGAACAAGCCAATCCGGGTGCAAAAAGCAGAAGAAAGACAAATAAATCCAGGCCAGAAATCAAGAACAGCCACGAAGATCTGGACTTCGGCAAACTAGATCCCAAAACTCTCATCACACATGTAAAGAGAAAAAAAAAATGCAGACGTTAGACAAAATTGTTTTTATTCCTATATTGTAAATATGAACTAGTTCACTTTTTGATATTATTTATTAAATAAGACAAAAAAAAAGAATTTGCTTTTAATTTCATTGAAAACCAGTGCAGTTAGCTTTATATTAAATAGCGTGGGCTGAAGTTTGAATTGCAAGTCTAGCTCAGTTATTTGTTTGTTTGTTTATTTATTTAAATAATGCCATCAGTTCTGGCAGTTCTTAAGAGAATGAATGCGATGGTAATTTAATTTGGGGAAACCTACATGAGATTCCACGAGGCTTGATCATCTTAAAGGACTTCCGTGAATGGAAGTATTCTGCATTTCAGTAAACGATGTAGCAGTTGGAAAGGCACGCAGTTAGTCCTCAACTTATAACCATACTTTTATTGAACGATGGCATTGAACAAAGTGACTTATAACCAGTTTTCACGTGACCGTTGGCGGCATCTCCACAGTCATGTGATCAGAACCTGGGCAGTTGGCCACTGGCATGTACTTATGACAGTTGTACTGTTCTGGGGATCATGTGTTCACCATTTGTAACCTTCCCAGCTGGCTTTCCATAAGCAAAGTCAATGGGGGTAGCCAGGCTGATTTCACAGCCACACAATTTGCAACAACTGCAGTGATTCAATTATCTGTGGCAAAAGAGGGCATAAAATGAGGCTCAACTCACCTCACTGCCTTGTTCAGCAACGGAAATGTTGGGCTCAGTTGTAAGTTGGAGGACTATCTCTAATAAAAGCTCTCAACGTTTGTCGACATCATTGCTTCTACAGAACTGGGAATATTGTAGACCAGGGGTCTTCAAACTTGGCCCTTTTATGACTTGTGGACTTCAACTCCCAGAATTCCTCAGCCAGGCACGTGTGCCTGGCTGAGGAATTCTGGGAGTTGAAGTCCACAAGTCATAAAAGGGCCAAGTTTGAAGACCCCTGTTGTAGACAGTCTGGTCCTTCCATTTCATTGTTCTGCATGGCTTACTACTTTGATTTGCTTAATCCTGGTTCTCTTACCTGGTTTCTTGTCACTCTTTCCATACTAAATGTGGTTCATTCTTGATAACACATTTTTACTATACTAGGTCTACATTTTTAGTTTCTGGATTCTTCTCTGAAGAGGAATTGGCATGAATTCTCCCGGAAAGGAAAGTTGTCCATGTGTTGGTTATTTTCAAATTATGGTAGAAGCGAATTACCGTTTCCTTGGATGCTTTTAAATTTTCTCACTTTAATGAATACTCCCAAGATTTCCTTGTGGTCTCCCATTCAGGTACTAATTATAGCAGTGGTTCTCAACCTGTGGGTCGGGACCCCATTTGGGGTTGAACGACCATTTCATGGGGGTCGCCAACCAACGCAGTCCGCCATTTTTCCCCCCTTTTCCTTAGCTGTGCTACTCCCTTTTATTCTATTGGCTTTTGAGAGCCAATAGAATAGGCTCTCTTGAATAGAGTCCAATTCTATTGGCTTTCAAAAGCCAATAGGAATTGTCCAGGCTGTCTCTGCCCTGCTGAGTCCGCCAAAAGTCCCATTCTGCAAACGATGCTGCACCAGTTGAGTAGTCCTCGACTTACGACCAGTTGAGTAGTCCTCGACTTACGACCGGTTGGGGGTCGCAGCATTAAAAAGGTTGAGAACCACTGAATTATAGGGTCTCCTGCTTGAACAGGGGGTTGGACTAGAAGACCTGAGATCCCTTCCCGCTGTATTCTAAGATTCTAAGCAAAAATAAAAGAATCTTTTTAGACAAAGGAGTATCACCTACATGCTCCTTTGTCGAAAAAGATAATAACAATGCTGGAAGGGTCCTTGGAGATCTAGTCCAATCCCCCCTTTTTAAAAAATATTTTTATTGATTTTCCAGTTTTACATTTAAATATTTGAAAAGCAACGTGGCGGCTGGGTTGGTTCATAATTCAATAACATACGAATTTCTTTAGTATAGATCACAAATCATTACGTTAAATATTTCCTCTTTTCCCCTTTTCCCACATTTAAATTAGTACAATTCTTATTATATCAGTTTAATACAAATAACTTTCTTATATTTATCAATAATTTTTAGTTTATACATATCTTAGTCATTTTAACATTCAATCTTTTTAAACAATGTCCCAATTTTTAGTTTCCCATTAATTTTTAATTTTAACATTTAATATTTATAGTTTCCAAGTTTTAAATAACCCCAATTTCCTTTATCTCAATTCATCCCAAGATCTTACATCAGCTGGTTAATAATACATTATAATATTCTTATTTTCTAGTAATTTCCAAATATCTTAAATTTAATAGCCAAAATTTCTCTTATTTCAACATTTAATACTTCCTCTTTTTTCTCTCAATATCTACTATCTCGTATTTAAGCTAGTAATTTTTGTTATTACCACTAAATAAAAACATTTGTTACATTCATCAATAAATTTTTAGTTTATATATATTTTAATTGCCTTTATATTCAATATTCAACAACATACATAACAACACAGGGAGATCTATTTGATGACTCAAAAGCATGGACATGGAAGAAGATTTGGCAAAGAAAGAAAGCTAGAATAAGACTGAAGAAAATTGGGGTTTTGACCTATTAGTGAGAATTAAAATAGAATATTCTCAAATAGTTAAGATGCGTACCTTGAATATTAGAAATTGTTATGAGTTGAGTTAAAGGATGCTCTGGTCATTTAAAACTTGGAAATATAAACATTAAGATTCCAATCCCCTTTTCAAGCTGGAGACCCTATACCATATCAGACAAGTGGCTGTCCAATCTCTTAAAAACCTCCAGTGTTGGAGCACTCATAACTTCTGGAGGCAAGTCTCACAGTCAGAAAATTCCTCCGTTCAGCTTGATGTTGAACGTTGTCCTTAAATATTCATCTTTTTAAAAAAATCATTTTAGGAAATAAAGCATTTGAGGAAGTATTCTAAACTGATGTACCTCACTACAATGCAATGGTACATATTCTTTAAATAGTTATTGCTGGAACCATCAAAAGCCACTTTTTAGAATTTGGCAGATCAAGGACCTCATGCTAATTTAAACATGTACAAATGACATGTGAAAAATTTGTTTTTGTAGCGTGGTCTTTGTGCCTCTAAGGTGTATGAGGAGGCCTGTTGTGGGTTTTCTTCCTTTGACACTGTGATTGTTCCATTTTGTTTCTTAATTTTTTGTCTCTGCCTGTATTTTAATTTGAAATGTGGTGTAATAATAGTAATAATAATAATAATGATGATGATGATGATGATGATGATGATGTTGGAAGGGACCTTGGAGGTCATCTAGTCCAACCCCCTGCTCAGGCAGGAAACCCTATACCATTTCAGACAAATGGCTGTCCAGTCTCTTCTTAAAAACTTCCAGTGTTGGAGCATTCACCGCTTCTGGAGGCAGGTTGTTCCACTGGTTAATTGTTCTAACTGTCAGGAAGTTTCTCCTTAATTCTAGGTTGCTTCTCTCCTTGATTAGTTTTCATCCGTTGCTTCTTGTTCTGCCTTCAGGTGCTTTGGAGAATAGCTTGGCTCCCTCTTCTTTGGGGCAGCCCCTGAGATACTGGACGACTGCTATCATGTCCCCCCTCGTCCTTCTCTTCGTTAAAGACATACCCAATTCCAGCAACTGTTCCTTATATGTTTTAGCCTCCAGTCCCCTAATCATCTTTGTTGCTCTTCTCTGTACTCTTTCTAGAGTCTCAGCATCTTTTTTACATCGTGGTGACCAAAACTGGATGCAGTATTCCAAGTGTGGCCTTACCAAGGCATTGAAGAGTCGTATTAATACTTCACGTGATCTTGATTCTATCCCTGTTAATGTAGCCCAGCACTGTGTTGGCTTTTTTGGCAGCTGCAGCACACGGCTGTCTCATATTTAAGCGATTGTCCACTAGGACTCTGAGATCCCTCTCACAGTTACTACTATTGAGCAAGGTTCCACCTATACTATACCTGTGCATTTGGTTTTTCTTGCCTAAATGTAGAACCTTGCTTTTTTCACCATTGAATTTCATTTCGTTAGATAGTGCCCAGTGTTCAAGTCTGTTGCTTAAGCACACTTCAGAATTACTAATATTGGATACTGATTCTTAGGAGTGTGCTGAGAGTCAATTATTAAGCCAAATCTGCTCCTATTTTAGTGTTAGCTAGAAGCATCGGCGTAAGGTAAAGCTATTTCCTAATTTTATAGGATGATTTGAGAAGAGTGCTCATCTGCTGCCTAACCACAAGGTGGCAGTGTGTATTTCCTTAATTCTGGCTTTGCACATTGTGTGAGCTCAAACATTGTATGCAAACTAGCATGGGTTTGCTTAGAGAATTTGCCTCCAGTCCCCTAATCATCTTTGTTGCTCTTCTCTGTACTCTTTCTAGAGTCTTAACATCTTTTTTACATTTTGGTGACCAAAACTGGATGCAGTATTCCAAGAGTGGCCTTACCAAGGCATTGTAAAGTGGTATTAATACTTCACGTGATCTTGATTCTATCCCTCTGTTAATGTAGCCCAGCGCTGTGTTGGCTTTTTTGGCAGCTGCAGCACACGGCTGTCTCATATTTAAGCGATTGTCCACTAGGATTCTGAGATCCCTCTCACAGTTACTACTATTGAGCATGGTGCCACCTATACTGTACTTGTGCATTTTGTTTTTCTTGCCTAAATGTAGAACCTTGCTTTTTTCACCATTGAATTTCATTTTGTTAGATAGCGCCTAGTGTTCAAGTCTGTCCAGGTCCTCCTGTATCTTAAGCCTGTCTTCTGGAGTGTTGGCTATTCCTGCCAGCTTGGTGTGATCCAATAAACCTTCTTATTGAAAGCTTGCAAGATTTAGAAAGAATGCCAAATTCTTACTCTCTTATTTAATCCTGCAAGATTTCAGGCGCACATGCACGTATAATGATTGTGATTAGTTACAATCAATCAACAAATGGTTGATCCTTAGACCCTCGGTGGGTACCCTTGCGCTTCTTAAATGTTCA